CAGCCCTCACCTGGAGATTGGACACATTTTACCTCAGAACAGCAAAACTGGTTAGAATGTTAGAGGCAAAAGCCAATCAAGTAGCATATGCAAACGACCTCTGTGTTCTGACTGGATATAGGGGGGAGACGAACAGCAAACTGTTTAGAATGTTGGAGGTAGGACTCAGGCAAAGGAGCCAGTGGATAGGGAGACCCCCTGAATGACAGGTCAGAGAGCGAACTGATTTTGGAGCGTGTGGAATGTTCTAGAGAAGTGCCACCACCATTCGGCTTTTATTTATAAGGGAGATTAGTTTTATAACATTTTGTTCTACAGGGCAGTCAATTTTTCTTAAAAGAAAAAAAACTAGTGCCATTGTATTAGAGCAATCCCATCTGGCACTTCCTTCTAACAGTCCAAAGTTGTTTTTTTTCAATGTTTTGATTTTTCAGTTTGAAAAACCTAATTTTCTCAAATATTCATTTATGTTTGGTTACATTTGGGAAACATCTGCAGCATATAGTTTGCTACTGCTGTAGACCACATTATTAGAGGCTAATGTAAAATCATATTGCTGATTTTAGGTCTAGTACGTTTCACATGCTTGTTTATGCATATGCTGAATTCTTTAATAATTCTGTGCATAACTGAATCCTTAATTCTTCTTGAAGGTAACTGCAAAAATGTTTAGAGTGTGTGTGTGTGTGTATAAAACAAATGTTTCTACCCATTTAAATTGACTGATAGCTTTTTCTTTTTTGACTACTTGTTTAGTGCATTTTTAGCCTGTCCTTCCTTCAAGGAGCTCAGTGTGGTATGCACAGTTCTCCCCTCTTCCAGTTGGTCCTCATGATAACCCTGTGAGATAGGTTAGGCTGAGAGAGATTGACTGTATAACCTAAAGTATAAGCGTGCAATATTTTAATTTGCTTCTCTACTGTGCATGCCAGATTAAACTTCAGAAGACTGGCACATGTTCTTCAGTGAAAATTAAATTATATGTTCATATTATCTTCATGTGCTAATCATTCCTGAGAGTGATCCCCTAAAAGTAAAATCTGACATCTGGATTACACTCTCAGACAGTGTCTCCAGAGGACTATTCATACATTGTTTTCTATGCAGGTATAGACATTATGGTGGAACAAATTCCCAGTTTTCTCTGTCCTTCCTCTATTTCCCTGGGTGAAAATGTAATATTTGAATCAACCCTTTGAGAAAACTGTTCAGAAATTTGTCTCTTCTATAATGCTTTTCTCATTCCTGCGTCCTAATGTTTTGTTGCCATTTAATTTATTTATCCAAGAATGTCGCACCCTTCAGATTTATTACTGGGACACTGATTAAAATACATTCTAGTATTATAGTTGTAAACATAATATTGGAGACTAGATTCCACTGAAGTCCTTCTAAATAAACATGTTTAGGGCCGTGGTATAGGTACCATTGTGATAGTTGTACCGGTTCTTCTACTGAAAATCTCAAAATTGCAGACTTTCTCTATAAAGATTGTTCAGGTTCTCCTTTCTTCATTTTTTTTCACTACTTAAGTAAATTTATGTAGCCCCTTTTTGAAAATATTTGTGTCGTAACTGCTGCTTACAAAATGAAACAAAGATGAAATACAGATATTCAATACATAGTCCATTATTAAACTATTTTAAAAATAGAATGCTGTCAAATTTAATGTATCCTATATAACCGATTCCTTGCTTGGAAAGTAAATCTAATTTCAGAGCACTTTCAGGGCTTTGTGTTTATTTTATACGATTTTTTAAATATATGTCATACATATTTATAGTAGTTGTCCCTTTGCAAGTATTCTAAGGCCTCCAAAACCTACCTGTTGTATGTTGCTCATGATTTCTTCCTTGTTTCTGCTTTGCAGCATTGAACCTCAAACTCCAGAGGTTAATATGTACTTTCATTGGGTTCCAGGGGCCTTTAGCTCCTTCACATGACTAAATCTGGTGGATTTATTACACATTTCTTCCTATCTCATGAGTTTCTGCACTAATGGAAACTGGCTGATTGGTGGGTGTCGATGTGAATCTGGAAGGTACAATGGTGGCAATTACACAGCCCTTCTGTACTGAGTGAAACTAAATTGGCACAACCAGTATTTAATTATTTCCAGTCAGAATTACCAACTTGATTACATTTCAAATTCCTGCTATGTTTTCTGACCCTGAGGGATTAGATGGGAAGAATTAAGGAGGAGAGCATTTTCAGTGGGTGAACTCCTTAAGGGTTATATCGAGAGCCGCTTTGTGAAAATAAGTATCGATGCCAGGTTTTGAGGGGAGAGACTTAATTATGTGAACTTTCTATTAATTATTCAGGATTCCTGCTTTTTTAACCTGTTC